TTCCGATATATGTTGGTTTTGATGCTGAGCATGAGTCGAAACCTGCAAAGAGATAAACGTCTTTATCTGAACTAAAAAATATAAAATAAACTTGTGGTTTCAGTTAGACCACTTAACATTAAAAAAAACCAAAAACCAACTTTGTCTGAAACATTCCTGTTATATATTGGAACAAATCTCTTCCTCATGTTCATTCATATAATGCAGTACTTATGCATTTTATATCACTGTTGTCATGGTAACTTTTAAGACTCTCTCAAACAGATGATGGCAAGATTCCACACTGCTGCAAAAGAGAGAAAGCAGGAGGTCCTGAAGACTTGCTCAGTACTGGGAGACTTAAATATGCTTTGGCAAATCATGCATATCCTTCCAGGAAAGCTGCTTTTGCAAATGGGGACCTGGCTTTTAGCTACAGTAATTAGCACTGGGTATTGGGGGTGGGGGGGAGAAAGCCAGTACTAGAACTAGGTCTCCTGCTGGGACTGCTCAAGGCAGAAAACTGGCACTTCAGGAAGAAAGGAAAAATGGCTGGTTAAACACTATATATGCATAATAAGATGTTTAGTGAAAGAATAATACTGTATGAAGAGAATGCTGGATGATGGATTAAGAAATTCCTGTCTTCCTGCCAGTCTTAAAAGATAGTTCTGGTCTGAGAATTTGGAAAAGGTTTGGGGTTGTTCAATTACACTTTATAACTTGGGTGACAAAATAGCATGCTTGGCCTACAACTTGATTGAGCACACCTGTAAAATCTTTTGTCTTAGATTTAAAATGAAAAATGATGAAGCCACATAGATGTACATCTGTCTACATAAAACAGATTGCAGTCTGCACAGTCATAGTGGTAATTAATAAACAAAGTGTTTCCTGACTTAGCACAAGATTGGCGGATTATTTTTGAAAGAACTGGACAGTCTGAAAAAAAGTTCTCCTCTTATGTGCATAATAAGCTATTTTGTTTTCTGAGGATAAAAAAGGTGAGGTACCTCTAGTTTAAGACAGCATTATTGAGCAAATAGAAGTCTCTAGATTTTGCAGTACTCAAAATATTTTGGTTTCAAATGTTGATCGAACCCTTATTAGTATAACAGGAATTTGCTTACCCATGAAGGAGATGCAGAGCTGATTAAATGCTAGGACAAGTTACGCTGCCCTTTTTATAAATATATTTAGACTAGTGTAATTCAATCTGTTTACAGAAGACCTTCCTAAGCAGTAGTACATCACACTCTTACGTCTAGTGTACTTTGGGAATATCTGTGAACAAGCAATACTTTTTAGCTTTTATAGCTGAAGAACAGAATACTTTTACAGACCATTCTGCTCAACCTGTAAGTTGTATTTCATTCCGCTCAAGTCAATGGAGCAGCCTCAGAATTTTATGCAGGTATGAACAAGCTGAATCTAGTTTAGTGCTCTTTAAACTAGGGTAAAATTGTTCCAGAGTTTAAAAATATGTTTTCTTGTCTTTAATTAAAAGAGAGCTATCTGAACATTCTACAGAAGATGAAAATCATAATTAATATAACTATATATGCATATCTTTAATAAAATATATAAGATTAAGAGTAGGAGGGGAGCTGTCTGAGGGGAAATAAGTCGTGAGAGTGAGTCTTAGCACCCTGGCAGTTGGGACCTGTGATGAATTGACAGCTAGAAAGGAAAGGTCCTGACTGCTGCTATCATTTTGAGCATGTGTAAATCACTGCCTCTATTACAAAATTTATTTCAAAACGTGTCAGCTCTAGTTCACTGAACAAAGCTAACAACACATCTCTATTAAGCTCTGGATGGTTTCTGAATGATGCTCACACTAATTGATTTATCATGTAGCTGTTTGGAGCTCTCATGTAATAAAGTGTCGTGCCACATATAATGAACTTCTCATGCTGAGAATGTTAAAGTGGCCTAGTTATTCCAAAATATGACATTTCATCATGCTGAAACCTTATTAGACATGAAGACTGCGGTCCTACAAAAACCTTCTTTCTCCAAGAGATGAAAGATTTGCTGTTCCTCTAGGGTGGGGAAGAGGTTTAGTTTCCATTCCTTAGGAGATGGCTTAAGGAAAAAGCTAATTTAATTCACCTGGCTGAGTTTAATTGTGCTTTTACCAAAACCTTCTTGCCAAATTACTTCTGCATGCTTGCTGCTTAAAACAGGTAAGACTGCTACAGATTCTCACTTGTTCCCAAAAGACAGGGCTGAAACTTTCATTTATAGGTTCCTGATGAACTCAACTCAGCACTAAAAGAAATCTGGCCTTTTGCCAGAACTGGATTTGAAAGACTAGATCATAGGAAATACTGAGAATGGAAATCATAGCAATAATGCATTAAAACTTCTTTTCCTTTGCAGGTAACAACAGTGACAAAGTTAGTATCAACAGCACTGGTGCTGAAGTATGGTGGTTCGTGTTGTTGGAATAACCAGCATGTACAACTGTTTTGCAAAATCTGTATTTTGTAAAACAGCTTCAGCTTTATAAATAACCACATTTTAATATAATAAGTTGTTTTTGTTTCTGCCTTGGACATGGTGTGATTTGGCTTTTCACAGTATTAAGTACTGAGCATTTATGTATTTGTTTACAAAATACTTGTGTGTGTACTGATAAGTTATTGTTATCCCTATATATTTAATGCCAACTTAATGTTTAGGGAGGGTAAATTATGTGATTTTGGAACCAACGGGCATCCTGTTGCTAAATCAGCATTACTTAAAAATATATTTCAGTTCTTAAATATTAGATGCAATAAATCTTAATAGTTTTTTTTTCATTCCCCATCTTTGCAACCAATACTCCCCTCTGTTCTTTCTGTCTACCTCACCTTGTTTCCTGCACTTCATCTCCAACTAAATGCAAATGTTATTCTGTGTTAGTTGTTTGAAGAAATTACTATCTCAGTATACAGGTTTTCTTTTTTCTCCCTTGACTCTGGCACCATCTTGCTGCCTCCCTGAGTAATTACCACTAAGAGCCTCAGACTCTAAAAACATAATCTGGTACAAAGTGAAGAGAAACTACCCAGTAAAATACTTGGTTTGTGATGTAGCTTTTAATTAATGTTAGCAACTATTTACTTGCTTGCTTACTATAATTCATTGCATTAGCATGTATTTTAATATGTTACTGCATATTAATTCCTGTAGCTAAATTTACACATTGATACAGTCTTCTTTTTCCAGTTTAATAATTTCTATTAACTCTCTCTCTTGTTGCTTCACCTCATTTTGTCTGTGTATCTTACCTGTATTCCATCCTCCTGGAAACGCCATTCTTTTTTGTTTTCTTTCCTGTGCCCCTCCTTCAGTAATCTTGAGGATGTGTAAGTACTTCACTAATAATATTAGTCACTTTCTTTGAATACTACCTTTATATATAGTTTTGTATTATGTCTTTCCCATACCTTTTTTTGCTACTGTAACTTAACTATTACTTCATTGGGCTTTGTTTAATAGCCTGTAACTTGTTGGCAGGTTAGTAACAACTGTTCTTGCACGCTATCTTGCTGCTTTCTTTCTATGAAACAAATTAGGAGTTATATTTGGTGAGAAAAAATAAATGTGTTTACATAGGAATACTGGGCAGGGGGGAAATCTCTATCTAAAGAGTGAGTTTAGCAGAATACCTCTTCTAGATAAAGAGTTGGTTGGGTACCATGTACAAAGAGTGGGCTGAAATAACAGGGTTTGGCCCTAAGGCAGGGTGCCACTTATGGCCCTGCTTCCCTTGCTGTTGTATGCCACTGAATGTCACCCTGGGCAATTGCTCACTACCCAGTGAGCAATCTCACAATCCCTTCCCTCCTTCCCAGCCACTACTCCAGTCGTTCGTGCCACAAGACAGTGGTGGTGAGAAAAACGGCAGGTGCAGTAGACTGGTGCAGATTCCAGAGGCCTCTATTCTGGCCCTCTAGTCACCATGTGCAACCAATTTCTCCACCCCCTACCCCCACACTGCTGATAATCACCAGTGGCTGGATCCAGCCCATGGACTATACATTGCCCACCCTTCTAGATAACATGTAAAACAAAAATAAATGAACACAGACAGACTCCCAAAAGCAGATGCTTTGAGAGCATGAGTGCAGAGGTTAGGGATAAGGTGTATGGTACCTACTCTCTTCTTTCCTTTTCCGAACTAGGAAATATTGCTGTGTTTGTCCCAGTACCTAAGCCTACCTTCAAAATGCAAATTTCCTTGGGAGACCAATAGCATGGAGATTAGTGACTGTATGTGAAATATTCTAGACAAGATTTTCGAAGTCACAAATAGTCACTATATTCTGTTATCTTTCAGTGCAAGTCAGGCTTCTTGTAATAGCCCTTTTTAAAGATCTCCACCTACAGTTTTTAGGATATCCAGTTCCTTTCCAGTTCTGATTGATCTTGACTTCATAAGTGGTGGCTGTTGGGTGACATACGTAAAATGAATTTGTAGCCTTAGTCTACTTTCTAAGGAACAGTTGTCCACATCTCAGGACCTGCCACTATAATGGATATGATTGTCAATAGATTCTGTTGGGAACCTAGATTTTAATTTACGCTTTCATCCTTATGACTGAAGCACAAGAGGTTCCAGAGCAGAACGGAGTTATGCTGACAGATAGCATTGGAAAATTTGCATTACTTCAATAAATGCTCTATTCTGTGAACAAAGGAAAGACTTAATTCTCTAGACTGTCACTCAAATGTTCTTTTACCCACACTAAATATGCCATTTTTAGTAGTTTTTACTAAGTATATGGAAAATAATCATGGTCATTCTAGAAAGAGATAATTTTTATGGCAAGATATGAATATCATAGGTGGGTTTCTGTGTACCTTTTCACATTTTTTAAGAACTGCTTATCTTTTGCTTATATTTTCTGACTTTTTTCTTTTTCTTCTCTTTCATTCCTGTTTCCAATTTCTTCTGTTTTCTTATTCTGTCAATACAAGGAAAAACCCACCTAAACGGTAAATATTTTAATATATATAACCTGATAATGTTGACTATTTGCTGTTTTAACTATTTCAAGATTGTTACAGTGTATTACTTCATGGCATTACTTTGCAAGCAAGGCAAGTTTATGTGAATATGTGATATGTGAATGCGTATTACTGTGTATGTTTAAGTTCACTTCTGAATATCTGAGTTCAGTCAGAAGCTGCTTTTGTAATTTGGTTCAACTTCAAATGTAATAGCAATAATCAATTTTGTCATGATTTACAGATGAAATCTCATGTCTTTGCTTTCACTATTCTTTGTTGAAACAGTCCACCAAGAAAACACATTGTGGATACCTACACGGAGTTTTATCACATGCCCACTCACAGAGATGCCAGCAAGAAACGACTGATTGAAGATACTGAGGACTGGCACCCCAGAACAGGGACTACTCAATCTCGTTCTTTTCGTATCCTGGCCCAAATCACCGGCACTGATCATAGTGAGCATCTTTTCGGAGCTGTAGAATTAAATGTGGAGAAGTTAATTATATTGAATGTCTATATTCTGTGACAGCAGATACTAGAAGAATAAAATGTTATTCCCCAAGTAAAATGTAAATCCAGTAGTCAGTTTCTACTGTGTTTTGTGCATGTTTTGCATGAAGGAAAAGATGACTATATATGCATATATATTTTATGTAAACCTCAGGAATGGATGGGAAGACTCAGGGCCAATGTAATACTGGAAACAACTTTTTAATTTATTTTGAACTAGCAAGGTTCTAAGTACACATGTTAACTTGCATTTTCCATCCCCTATCTCAGTGCCAGAAAAAATGTTTTCTTCCTTCACAGTCTCTACACAGAAAGGGACACTTCTATTTAAAGATTTCCTTATTCTGAGCCCCAGGGGATGGGACAAAAATGGGTTTTGATATCTGATACCTTAGGCTCCACCAGGACTAGGTGTGAGAATTTCCGAGGGTTGAAAATTTGAGGATTCCTGTTTTCCAGCAGTTAAAAGAACTTACTTTTGTATTGGCATAACAAGAGATATGCACAATCATATCCTGATTTTAAGATCCACTGTGGAAACTAGTGATCTAGGTAATTATAAAATAGCAACTGTTTTTGTTCCCTTTTTTCTTTTTCTTCATTTTTTTTTCCTTCTGAATTAATACCTTTTCATTTTTTGGATGGATTTTTTTAATTAAGGCAGCCTAGGCCAGAATTTTAAAAGTTTTCAAGTGCCTTTAAGTGTCCAGAGTGTTTTTAAAAAGTGCTGAGGGACTAAACTCCTGCTGAAATCAAATGGAAGTTCCATACTTCTGAAAATCTTGTTAGATACTTCATTTTTTTTACATCAGTTTGTAGGTGTTTTCAGAGTGGCAATTTTTAAAATCTAAAATAGTTTTTCTTTGATATTTAAAATATATATATGATGTATTTCAAAGGAATAAGGTCTTAGAAATTTTAAAATTTCATTGCAGTGAAAGAACCAGAACCTGACTCTACAAAGAAGACAAAGTAAGTTATGTTTTCTTTACTGATATCTAGATTTGGAGTGACTTTAATTTTTTGCATGGCTTTTATTTTTAATTGGCAATACGTTATAGTTTGTGCCTGTTAAGCTCTAGACGTTTTTAAGTTTTGTTTCTGTTTCATATGGATTATGTATTAATCAGAACGTAAAAATCAAGAGCTTTGTCTGCTGAGTTTGCCTTTGAAGAACTTTGTTTTGTAGAGTCTACTACGTACAGGTTTGTGCAGGAGTTTAAGCTTTTTTGGTCAAGCATTCTGTCACTACTGATATTTTTTTCTTCACATATAACCTGGCATTTCTGTCTTGTAATAGAGGATCAGCTTTCTGGAACTTGGTTGAATAGTTGTTCTGGAAAAAATGTTACTAATCAAAGTAGTGACTAAGTGTCCAACTTAATACCTGCTGAAGTCAATGGGAGTCTTTCTACTGACTTAACCTGGCATTGGATCAAACCTTAAGACTAGGGACAAAAGTTGCATAAACCAGTTTACGTGATCAGAAACTAGTTCAAACCCATAACAGAACAGAAGTTCAGTGCACATAAACCGCTTTCAAAATGACCAAAACTGGTTTAAGATAAATATGGTTGGATGTAGTATCAGGCTTTAACTGATTTAGGTCAAACCAGTTTATGGAACTTCTGTCCCAGCTCCCTTCCTGGTTCAAGTTAACTCTCAGTTCCCCAGCATCCCAGGATGCTTTGCAGTCCTGGGCTATGCTGCCTGCTCCAGCGGAGCAGGGACTGCTTTGCCACTCTGCTTCTTAGCCTGCTTCCTGCCTGTGTCCATCAGCCCATATGGATGCAGGGCAGAGGAACAGACCCCCAGACTACCCTAGCTAGGGTCTGCACAGCACATGGGGGAAGAGAGAGCCCCTGTGGTAAGGGCTTTTCAGACCCTGGCAGCCTTCTCTCTTTCCCCCTCCCCCTTCCCAGCTGCTGTTTGCTTCAGCAACTGCCACAGGAGGGAGAGAGGAGGAGTCCTTCGGGCCAGGTGCCTGCCCATGCAACCTAGCATGGGGGCATCTGGGAACCCCCACCTTGAGGGGCTTCCTCCCACCCCAGCCTAGGAAGCTGAGGAAATCTTCCCTTCCTGAACGACAGAGCTGCTTGCTTTGACTCCTATGAGTCTGGCAGCGTCAGACACCAGAGGGAAATGTTCCTGTTCCTCCAGAGCTTGTTTTGCCTTAGCTGCTGTGAGTCTAAGGCAAAACTAATGCAGGGGAACAAAGGAATGTCCCTCTGCTCCCTGGGCTATCCCTGAGACTCACTGCAGCTAAGGCAAGGGGTTGGGAGAGGAAGATTTCCCCCCAGCTCCCTGGGGCTGCCCGGGGTGTGGGGACCCTGGGCTGGTGTGAGGGGGAAGGCCTCAAGGTGAGGGCTCCACAGTGCCCCCCTGTGCTGGGCTACTCGGGCAGACACCCGGCCTGGAGGACTGCTTCTCCCTCCCTCCTCTGGCAGCCACTGAAGAAATCAGCACCTGGGGAAGGGGAAGCGGGGAATTCCTCTCAGCTCCCCAGGGCTGCCTGGGCTGGGGGAATCTACCTGATGGGCAGGCTCTCCCGAGGTGGGCTAGCATCTGGACAAGGGGGCTCCTTAACCCCCTGTGGGGGGACAGCAGGGGCTGGAGACACTTGGCTGGGCTGGCAATGGCCAGCAGGCTGAGAGATGTGCTCTAGCACTCCCTGCCACCTGGCCTGTGTCAGTGCAGGGTCCCCCTGCCCCCCACCCCCCTCCCAAATGAAAACTAAATGTCAGTTCAGTTGGTCATCACTTCAACCTATGCAGCTTGGAGGAAGCTGCCTAGATTGAATCGATTCAGCCTCAGGCTTTTTGACTGTCTGTACTGATAGTAAATATCTGCATCTTTGTCTATCCATATCTTTGTCTGTCCATATCTTCCTGTCTGGCTGGCTATCTACCTGTCATGTGTTTGTGTGCATGTATGTATATGTATACACACATTATAGGTGTGTGTGTGCGTATAAATATATATATATGATGCAGGGCTGTGAGTAGTACTTGGAGACTGCATGTTTCAGTTTCTGTGCAATAAATTGAATAATAAGCTTCCTTCCTTTCTTACCTTTCTTCTATTACTTCTTTCCACAGGGAAAAGATTCCCATCCACATCTTTACCCCCAAATATACAAAATTACGTGACTGGCACCATGATGTCTCAGCACGTGTCCTTAATGTCCAGTGATTTTACCCAAGTTGAAAAAAAATAAAATGCAAACCTTTTCTTTCTTTCTTTTTTCAACTGCTTTGCAAAAAAAAAAAAGAATTTTATTAGCTTTATTACAAAAGGAACTCTAGCTTTTTCTATACTTTTCTAACAATTTCCTACTGATGTGTAAAGAATAAGATGAACATGTTTTTGTGCTAATCAGTAGTTCACAGAAATACTTATTTAACACAGAGCAACTTGGGTTACTGAATCTTCCTAAGTGGGTAGAGAAGAGCTATCAGGGTTCTTTTTCCATGACAGACTAATTTATATTGCTGAGTTTGAGTTCTTGTAGACTGATAGAATATAGAGGAAGATGAGCACGAGAATAGCATACAAAATAGCATATTTCTTTATTTTGTGGGATGGGGAAGAGACTGTAAACAGTTATTTCAATAGATTTGTATTTTCTGAGAGAGTTTTTCTTCAAATTAAGTACAGTTCAGCCGGCATACTTTAGAGTGGGTTGTAAATGTTTTTAAAAATAGAGGGAAAATACAAACCACTTCTCCACCCATAGGAATTTTGCCAGTATTGCAGATCTTGTTGCAAGGATGATTCTGCTTAAATACGTATTATGTCAGCACCAAGGAAAGACTATAGAAAAAGAATGAGTTTAATGATCCTGTTTATATGTGAGACCTGCAGCATATGATCTCAACTGAGATAAGGTAGTTAAAGGCAGTGATATTTATTATAGGGTGAAACTGTTAGGGTTTTTGTGCTTATAGAAGCTTCAATGCCCAAAGATATGATGGTGCATATTGTCCTGTAATATAATGTATTATAGTAGACACATTCATTAATTTATGCTTTTTGAAGTTTGAAGAGTATTTTAATAAAACCTGCTTTTAACTTAGTTTGGTCTGGTTTTTATTTGAGGCTTTTTTACTTTAGCTTCTCATACAGACTACTGTATATGTATTTCAGTCTCATGAAGCAAAGGAGAAAACAATTGTCATCCTAGTGCATAATAGGAACAACTTGAACACCCGCATACAATATATGCAATAGAGTTTTTCCTGAGTCCCCTCTAATAATTCAACATGTGTTTTTTTTGTATTGTTTTTTTGCTTTGTTTGGTTTTATGCAAGCTTTACAGCAAGCTATAGAATTGCTAATCTTTTTTTTATTTTTTTTTGATGACACAACCTGAAGTATGCTACACACAAGCTCAGAACATTTCATTTAGCAAAATGCACTGTGTCTGTTTCTATTATGTATTAGACTATATAAAGGGATACATATAGAGCAAATTTAAACTTAATTTGTAAGGTTTTCCTAAGAAATCTTGCATTCCACTTGAACTTGTGTAGCACTTGGGGATTTTCTTTAGCAGAACTTGATCATTCCTTTGGGGGAAAACTAGTGAAGAACACTTTATTTGAGGAGCGGATTGTTTGCTTGTTTTTAATATCTTAAAAACTAAAGATACCTATAAACATTTGCATTTCCTCCTCAGGGGCTTTAAATTCCAAAAATAAAAGTTCTGTAGTACTATAGCTCACTGTCTTTGTCATCTTATCTTTAGGGAAAGTCAAACAGAAAATGGGGACCTCAGGTAACAGCCAAGTTGTCTAATACTAACAGCCACTTTGTGTGTAAACTGAAGAGTACACAATATAAAGTACAATTAAAACAGCATAAGAATGCTCATGAAATACAGTAGCTAAAAATGCACGGTTGCAGTTTGGTACCTTTTACATTAAAGTACAAAATGATAATTAGGGGAAAATATTTGCTAACAGTTTCACCTCAGACACAGTCTTTAATTTGACTTGCTCTTTTCAGCTTGTTTCCGTAAATTTAGAATTTATTTTCTGTATCAAATAACTCAAATGCTTGTGCCACATTTACTAAAACTAAGTACGTTATTCAGTGCACATATAGCATATTGTAACTTGCTTTTCAAGTGGGAACTCCGTGTTGAATATTACAAAGTACATTAAATTTGCTTTGCAAGGTTTAAATAATTTTTACATATGGAGGAAAGGATTTTTTTTTTACTTTTTTGACACAATACATTATGATTGCTACTATATTCACTATAGTCCATTCTTTATCATTAAAATTATTGTTTAATCTTAAAATATGTGTGTGTTTCTGGAAGTATTACTGGATAATGATTTTTTTTTCCCTTTTGTTATTTATCTCAGCAAGAAAGATGAACCGTGTTGCAATACTTGGCATTTCAAAAAATGAATTGTTTCAGTGAGGAATAGAATTGAAATCCTGTTCAAAAATATAAAACATTTGCTGTTAGTGAAAATAAATATACAACAACTAGGAGATTTAAAATTGAAGGCATGTCTAAATTCAACCAGAGCTTTCTAAAGCACAGGAATATTTGAGGCATTGCTTGTCTCCTGGGAGTATTTTGTGGTGTGTCTCAATATGTGAGTGACAGATTATTAAAACAATAAATATTCTAGTAAAAGTAAATTCAGGACTAAAGTAGTATAGGAGTGATGTTGTTGCTGTGATCATCCAAAAATTATATGAGAGGCAAGGATTTCTTAAGGTGGTATCTTTTATTAGACCAACTGTATAGTTGCTATACAGTTAGACTAAGGGGATTCCTAGAAAACAAACTGGATATTAGAACCATGTGTTATGGCCCTCTGGTGGTGGTTACTATATTAGTTATTTTAATAAAAATAATTGTATTTTTTCTCTTTTTTTTAACTACTTTACCTTTGTTCCCTAAATGTTCTAGCATATAACTTTCAGACTTGCCACATTAGAATTATACCTGTACAAAATAGCAACTAATTTTTTTATCTAATTTTTTTAAATCATCTCTCATGTTACCTCTTGCTAACTTTTTCCTCAGCTGATGAATGTATAGGAGGCCTCATCTTCATGTAAACCAGACACCTAATTGTTTATTGGCATACCAAATTAATCACAGCATGTGTACTACCCCAGTGCCCTAATAGAAGGCTATACCCAGCCTTAATAGAAGTCTATCTTCTTCTTCCCTAAAAGCTCTTCAGTATGTTTCCATATAACTTATTTATCTTCTCTTTTCCCACATCACCTTCTCAAATAAATTGGAAGATATTTTGCTGACTGACTTTAATGTTATAATTGTTCATTTCAAAGTGGCTTTCCTCCTCCCTCCATACCAGAGAGAGAGAAGAAACAAGCAAAAACAGTTGGGAGAAACATCCAGCTACTTTTTTTTATTTCTAAATGTGAATAATGCATCTTATCTATCTGATTAGCCTTCAAACCTATAAATCTGTTTCTGCTCTTAGGACTACATAGTGACTTAGAATCACCGTCTCAGTTAATTACGGCCTCATTGCATTTGATTCCTTTTTATGCATTTATTTAGAAAGTATCTCACCTTACTTTTAATTGACTGTAATCATAGGTGGCAGTAGGACATATATTTAAGGGCCTACTAGGGAAAGGATTAGATGTATTCAGAGAAGGAAGAAGAAATCTCAGATGTTATGGGTGTTCTGCCGATAAATGTCCCAGCTGTTCAAACTGTCTCAGAAACAAACTCAGTATTTTGAGTTTCAACCAACAGCATCTAAAGCTCTTTCTGGAAATTGTAGTATGGATAAATGTGTATTTCTTTTTCAACATTTTAAACGAAATGGCCATAATGAAAACCATAAGCAAAGCAGAGTGAATACACAATACCTACATAGAAATCAATTGTTATTTCCAGGCATATTTTAGAGTTCATTGTTGTCCATGAACTGCTGCTCCCAACACGTGTACTGTGTTTATTCAAATCTAAGACAAGTTTTTTTTCCTCCCATTTAACATAGGGGGAAGCCCCTCATTTTGGATTCAAGTACAAGGTGGTGAGGGCACCAGCTCCAGCTCTGGCTCCAGCTCCAGCCCCAACCCAGGGTTGAGGTTAGAGCTGAAGCTACTGCCTAACCTCCCCCCCTGCTCATCCTGCCTCTTCCCTGCCTCTTCCCCGTGCCTGCCCTGCAGCTGTCACCCCCTCTACTTGCTGCTTACCCTTGCCCTCAGCAGGGCTTCAGCCTCACTCCAGCAGGGCTCTATCTCCACTCCATCCTAGGCCATGGAGCACATGTTTGCTCTGGCCCCAGCGCAGCCTAGGCTGAGCTGGGGCTGAAGTAAATATGTGCTCTGTGCCTCAGGCTGGGTTAGGACCGGAAGCCTTACAGAGCAACAGTAAGGGTAGCAGGGGGAAGGGCAGAGAGGCAGCAGCGCAGATCTGGGATAGGGGACAGGTGTCAGGGGTTGCAGGTGTGGGGGGAGCTGTTGGTAGGGAGATTAGAGGGCATGGGGCAGAGATCAGGCAGCTTGACTCCCCCATTGCCTGCCCCTCTGTCACTTCTTTCCCCACTACAATAGTGGGGACTAGTTTAAAATTACCCTCTAATAGATTCTCTACATGGAAAATCATAACAAATTATACGTTTTCCATGTATGTAATTTAATTATTAGAGGGTCATCTTGAATTCAGGGTCATCTTGAATTCAGGTAAATATGGTACATGTGTGCGCCTTATTTGTACTTTATCCTGTGTGTGTGCACGCATACACAAATGTGTGTGTGTGTGTGTGTGTGTATATATGTATGTATGTATATATATGATTATAGATCTTTTAAATCATACACAGTCTCAAATCATTTTGAGTTGTTTGCTTTTCAACTTGTAGTTAGTCTTGAGTGGGTTGGCAAGGTTCTTTGGGTAGATGTGATATCTTTTATTAGACCAACTAAGTAGTCTTGAGTAGGTTAGTGCAGAGACTTTCTATTCTTAGTTGTTAACATATTCATGGCCACTGTGAAATGGTGCATCCCACCTTAAGTTGATTTTAAATTCTCATGCATGTATTCTGGCATAATCCCTGTGTATTTTTCTTTATCATAAATATCTGTAAAGCATGTCTACAGATCTGCCTAATGGAATAGGAACTCAGAATACCTCCTTAGATGCAAGTAAACATACAGTTGCTACTCAGACCTTTGAGATGCCACCTGGGTCAGCTGTTCCATCAACACCATTGCCAGCTATGAGGTCTGCTTTTCTGTTAGTCTTTTAAATCAGTTAAGTACACTGACATCACTTCAGACTGGAAACTTAAAATAAAAGATTTATATCTGCATGATACTAAAAAAATATAAGGTATACACTTCTGCATAGGTAACTAAACTTAATGGAATCTCATGGAAGACAGCTTCTCACTATACATGAATATGCTTACCTTGTAAGTCCTTCTTACTATCACATTGCACTTAGAAATTTGTTTGGAGATAGCTGCATATCAGAAGACTGTTGTCCTGTTTATTGTAATATTGTGCAGAATTATTCCAGTCATAATTGAGGAAGTGGTATGATATCGAGAAAAAGTGTCAAGACCTAACAAATACAATTCTGTAGCATCCAAAATATACGGCATACAGAGAAAAAATTTGCCACGCTAATTTTTTGAATAAAGGTATCACAATGGAAAGTATATAAAACATTGAGATGAAGCTCACATACAGCTGAGACTTCATTTTCAATCAGCCTCATCTTTTCTAATGCATTGCAGTAGATAGCCTGCTATAGAGTTTGTAAGCAGCAGTCTACTTCCCAAACTTCACCCAAAGTATGAATAGTCTTATATACACACTATTCCACTATCCCAGAGGTCTGGAATATTTTTGCTTTCATTTTTAAACAATTTCAAAATACCACTAAAATATTGATAACGATCTTTTTTGTGTTTAATTTGATTTTGTTATCATTGAATGGAATTCAACAAGACCAGAATCTGCTTCAGTCACTTCTCCCTTAGCAGAGCCTTCACCTGTCAGTGTTCTCTCTCCTAAACTGTCTGAACATGTTCTCGTGACTTTATCTCCTGAGAGGTAAATGATTTGCTTGTGATCCTCAGCCCAGTGATCATGGGGAGATATGTACTAGTTTGTTTCTCTTATTGGTTTTGTCCATCACCCACTTAAATTGGGTGTCACCAACATATCAACCACCTGTCTTTCTGATAGAGGAGGAAAAGGAGGAACAAAAATATGCCAATCAGATTGATGAGCATGTCATGGGTATATGTTAGAAGAAGAAATAATATAGTCTGCAGTGAAACGCTTTAGAAAGGTCAATGATGTCAATGGGTGACCATTCCCATGACCTCATGTAATTGAGAATAATCAAGTGTTTCCATGCAAGACTTAATTCTGATATTTGTTTCCACTTAGACAGAACTGCATTAATACATTGGAAATTCACAGTATGTCCCTAAAGGGATCCAATACTGTGAAGTGATGAAATATGATTAAAGTAGGACATTAGATGGCAAATTTCCTGTCACTGACCTTGGATATCTTCACTGGTATGATCTAGGTCATGTTTTCTTAGCAAACTATAGACTCCTTTTGGAGGTCAAATATGGGTTTAAAATTAACAGATGTTTAAAGTTTTTCTTTATTATTTAGCTTGTTCTTTCTTTAAAAAGGTAAATAATGTAGTGATGTGTAAACCAGGAGTGTGAACAAATATGTGGCTTTGCAACCAATACCAGTTACCTGGAAAAGTAAACAAACACTAAACCAAATGATCTTTTATAAATTCTACCTTTATATAGATTTATCTATCCTAGATTAATTCCATTAGATTTCAATTAATTTGAAAGCAACCTAACTCTCAACTGGAAGTTGAGAGCCGCCACCCCCCTGCGTTCCCTGGACAAGCCACAGCTCCTTCCTATGCCCCATCCTGCCGCAACTGGGCAGGACCTGCCGTTGCCCTGCCCCGGTCCCAGAGCCAGCCCTGCTCCCTCCTTCACTACAGAGGCCTCGATCTGTCCCCCCCACCCCTTCCCCCACAACAGATTTACCAACCCAACCTTCTCTCCACGCTGTGGGGCTGCATATCAGAATTGGATTGGTATTGGCCAATATGGCTTGTTAAAAATTGGCCATCAGTATCAGCACAAAAAATCTCCATTGGGGCACCCCTAATTATAACGAATTAAATTCTAAATACCTATATATTTTTGCGTGTGATTTTGGTTTTTTTTTATCATGGAAAATCAGAACTCCCCTTGCCCTCTATGCTCCCCAGGACATGGGACCAGCTATGGCTGTGTCCCCCACCACTGCTTTGTGGCACTGAGCAGCCCTGATATACTGGTGCTTCTCACCCCCAAGACACAGCCCTCCCCAGCCCTGCCAACATGACCCATATCCCCCTGCCCTGCCACCACCAGCCCTGCCACAGCCCTAAGGGTGGGCAGCCCAGGGCACTGAGGCTGGGGGGAGGGCATCATGGCACCCCAGGGCAGGGCCCTATCTCAATTGAAGTGGGGGCAGAGGAGGCACTAAGTCTGGGGTGCCCCTCATTGCCGACCCATGTCCCCCTCCCCCTCAGCTGCCCCCAGTCACCAGTTCCCCAGTGTTTGAGGGAGAGGAGTGTCCAGCCATAGGAGACACCAGAGGCAATACATTAGGGAGGTATGGAGGGGCACATGCTCCCCTGCCCCCCCCTTCAATTTCTGTGCCCACCATAGGGCACAGAACTGCAGCCTGGCAAGATTGGCACCAAGCAGGAGCCACCTCCACAGCCCAGTGGATGGGACCTGGCACATGAAGGCAGAGTGGGGCAGCGAGACTCGCCCCTGCCACCGCAAGCCCCACACTAGCTGCGCCACCATGGTGAGGCACCCCCCTTTGCCTGCCACTGCAGTGTGGGCACAAGCCATACCCACTACAGCAGCAGGCAGGGGACACCTCACCTTGGCCACCAAGATAGTGTGGCTGGTGTGAGGCTTGTGGCATCAGCAGCAGTAGTGAGTCTTACCACCTCACCTTGCCTTCCCATGCTGCATTCCACCTGCTGGGCCATGGAGGAGGCTCATGCCTGGTGCCAGTCCAGCCAAGCTGCAGTTCCATGCCCTCTGTGGGTGCAAAAATCTGGGGGTAGCACGTGGCCCACCAATGTGTAATCTCTGGCACCTGACCCTTCCACAGGAGTTCACACAGCAGTGGGGAACCGGTCCCCTTCCCCCACCCCCCCCAAGCCAGCCACTCATAGCTCCATCCCACTCCCCGGCTGGTCAGCATAGCTGTACATTCCCTCCCAGGCCCTGGACACCTTCCCAGCTGGGTAGCGCCCCTAGCCCCAGCTGCCAACCCTGCCCTACTCCTTCTCTCACCATGCAGGCTCAGCACAAGCCACCACCTCAAGCTCCCCACAAGTTTGCCCCTTATGCATCACCTATGCCTGCCCCAAGACATAGACTTACCTGCAGGCAGCTGCAAGAGATGCTTTCCACCATACTGCCTGGGGCTGTATTGCGGGCCATGTGCACGTGCACATGGCACCCCTCCTGCCTCTGATCACCTTGGAACTCTGCCAGCCTTCAAGAGCTAACCTATGGTTTCCTGCATTTTTCTCTTTTAAAGGGGAAAACCTGTGATTTTTCTCCTTTAAAGGAGAAAAATCCATGATTTCTGTATCAAATGAAAAGCCCAGATTCCTGATCATGAGCATGTGGAGTTGGGGGCAGGCAAAGTCCAGCCTGCAGGCTGAATCCAGCCAGCAGTGGACTCCAGTTCCCAGCAGCCCCTGTCCATGTGCCTGGGGTTGATTTCCATGGAGCAGCAGCAGCTGTTCTTTAATAGCGGGGGGCTGGGGTTTCCGTGAAGACTGGCCCCAGCAGCGCTGGCAGGTAGCGGCAGTGCCAGCCTCTTCCTGTGGGCGGGGCTAAGGGGGGCAGTGCTGTGGTTGGGAGCAGGGAAGGCAGTGGTGGTGCTGTAAGGGGTGGCTACAGGGGGGCTACATTGAATTTTGGGGTCACAGTTCTGCCCCAGCTCCAGACCACACTGTCACTGCCACAAGATCGTAGCCTGGCTGCAGAGCAGCTCAGTGCCCTACCATGAGCCCTGACTGCACTGCTGGGGCTGGTCTCCATGGAAACCCTGGTCCCACACTATCACAGTGGAACTGCTGCTGGGGTCTCCATGGAAACTGGCCCCAGCCATGCAGGCAGGGGCTTCTGGAAAATGGAGTCAGGCTGCCAGTTGGATCCGCCATGTTGCCCACCCTTGATCTGGAGGAAAATGGACTGAAAGGTACTTCCAGATTCATGGGCTCAAATCCTATTTCACCTACAAGATGCTTAAGTGCAATCCTATTCTAACCTGCTTAAGTCCCTGGAAAAAAAGATTAACATATCAGATTCTGTAACTCACCTTCCTCTCAGCTTTATGATTGTCACAAAAAACCACGAGGAAGACTTTACCCACCTTTTGCATTAACTTTTTTTCAGAGACTCAAGCATAGTAGAATAAGATTCTGTTTAGGCACATAAGAGGTGAAATTGAATTTTGGTCATAGAATCCAGAACCCTGCTATGGCACACAAGCCTTTCATAAAACCTTTTAATAAACTGTTCCACCTCAGAGCAAATTGCTGGGTGTCCTTTCCAGTATTTATTTATAATGCAAAATAATCTTTGGTTGTTAATCTTTGGTATTTACTTCTCCTACCTTCCCCTTTCTTTCCCTTGTACATTCAGATGCATACAAATTTTAAAAATCCTAGCATGACTGCCTTTTCAAATGGGTGCATCTGTCCAAGTCTTTCAGGGGAAAGCACTGAAAAAATTTTCAGTGCGAGTTTGGGGTTGCTTTTGTGTTTGATGCATAATGGTAGAGCCTTGTCTTAGCAAGGAAGTGTTGTCTAGGAATTGGACGAGACCCTACAGAATCCTGGGTTCAATTCTTGGCAATGCTGCTGACTTGCTTGAGTAACCTTGGGCAAGCCATTTTTCCCTCTGACTCAGTTTCCCCAACTGCAAGATAGAAAATCCTTAAACTCCTTTTTAAAGCACTTCGAGATCCCAAAATTAAAAATTCTGTGTTAGAGCTATGATTTCTTATTTTATCATATATATGTGTGTGTAAGTGTCCTTCCCTCTCATCGGGTTCTTGAATTCTTTGGTTGAAGAATTTAGATGGCTAAGTCCCATTTTCAAAAGTGTTTTTGGCACTTAGGGCTAGATTAAGAAGAAAGGTTCAGCTTCACCTTAGTGACTGTTAATTTCTGGACACTTTGCCACCTAGGCTAGGGACAGAAGTTACACACAACTGGTTTAAGCGATTGGAAACTAATTTAAACCTGTAACAGAACAGAAGCTCAGTGCACATAAACCACTTCCAAAACAGCCCAAACTGGTTTAAGACAAACCTGTTTGGATGTAGTTTCAGACTTTAACTGATTTAGGTCAAACTAGTTCATGGAACTTCTGTCCCAGATCCCTTCCCGGTTCAATTTAACTTTCAGTCCCCCAGCATCCCAGGATGTTTTGCAGCCCTGGGCTATGCTGCCTGCTTCAGTGGAGTAGGGACTGCCTTGCCCCTTTGCTTGTTAGCCTGCTTCCTGCCTGTCTCTGTCAGCCCATAGGGACAGTGGGGGTAAAGGGAACAGACCCCCAGACCTCCCTAGCCTGGGTCTACACAGTCTGGCGGTGGGGGAGCCCCTATGGAGGCTTTTTGACCCTCAGCAGCCTTCTCCCTCCCCCCCCCCCCCCCCCCCAACCCTCTTCCCCCCTGCGGCTCCCCCCCGCCCCCCAAACCCTGTTCCCACCTGCTGATTGCTTCAGCCACTGCTACAGGAGGGAGGAAGAAGAAGTCCTCTGGGCTGGGTGCTTGCCCATGCAGCCCAGCATGAGGGACCAGGGACATGGGGATCTAAGGCATGCAGCTCTGGGGTTTGGAAGGGGGAAAATTCCCCTTGGCTCCCTGGGGCCTCCTTGGGCTGGGGGACCCTGGGCTGGGTTGGGGCGGCGGGGGAAGGCCTCCAAGGTCAGGGCTCCCCAGTGCCCCATGCTGGGCCGCATGGGCAGGTACCCAGCCCGGAGAACTCCTTCTCCCTCCCTTCTGTGGCAGGGATGGGGAGGTTCCCCCAGGGTGGGCTAGGACATGGACAGGGGGCTCCTCAACCCGCTGTGGGTGGACAGCAAGGGAATGAGGACACTTAGCTAGGCTAGCAATGGCCAGTAGGCTGGGAGACATGCTCTAGTGCCCCTGCCTACTGGCCTGGTTCAGTGCAGGCCTCTCCCTGTCTTTCCCAATTGAAAACTGAATGTCTGTTCAGTTGGTTATCACTTCAGCCTGCACAGCTTTGAGAAAGCTGCCTAGTTTGAATTGATTCAGCCTCAGGCATTTTGACTGTCTGTACTACTGGAATCCATAGGCCAAGCTGAGACAGGCACCCAGGTTCCATATTGAAGCGAGCTCACAGGTTTTGTTAAGGTATTCATTATAATGGTGTTCCCTCAAACACCACTTAAGGAAAATACATCTTGATTTCCAAAAGTCTTCCAGACAACATGACTATCTCAAGTCAATGAGTAAGTGATATATGTTCTGTCATATACTTCACTATGCAGAAAGAAGCCATCCAAGGGTCAGTAGGCTCGCCTTTGCCATTTGCATCCTGCATTTGTTGTCAAAGATTGGCATAGATTCTTTTTTTTTTTTTTTTTAACTGGACTTGATTTTTTTTTTGGCTGAAACTAGTGGCATGTCTCACTGCCAAACTCAAAATGGAAGAGAGCCTTCTGTGATTGCTTTTTTAAAATTTTTAAACAGCTTATGCAGAATCTGGAATCGATTACTGAATTAACCAATTCAGACTTGCTGCCTAAAATGTAGGATTAAGCATAAGGTTTTTTAGTGGTAGTTTCACTTGTTTAATAAAATCTTAAATTAGTTGTATTGCAGCAAACCAAATTGCTGCATCTTTTTTGGTCTTTTACTTTATTTTATATATGAAAAATATAAATGTAAGTTTCCTAATGCTAAACTATTTATAGCTAATTTAGAAATTAGTTTAAATTTTGCTTTATTAAATAAATCACAGAGGTCACCCCTCATGCGCACATACAATAGTTACCCTGGTAACTTCAGACTGTCTAAACCACAAAAATATGTAATTAATGTATTGGGTAGCTGTAGTTGTCATGCTCAGAGAACTTGCTAGGGAGGGTTGACCCATTTAATTTGGGAAAAAATATAAATATATATAAATTGTGTATACTAATATAATACAATATGATATGATCATAATATATGATCATATAATCATAATATAATGTAATGTATGTATATGGGTTGGGAGGGTAGTGGCAGGTTCTTGATTACCAAGGACCAGATTAAATTTAAATCTTTAACAGATAATTCTGTGTGTGATTTCTGACTGACTTTGGATACCTAAGAAACTTAAGGTAATTATTTTGTATTCAGATGAAGTTGGAAGCTATACCTTGTGCCTATACCTTGTATATACTTATGCTTCTGCTTTCTTTTACTTCAGAAAACTTTTGTTTGACAATCCTTTGGAAGCCTTACCTAAGGGTGCACCTCATCCACCTGCTTTTGTTCAGATTTTCAATGTCAGTAGTGAAGTAGCTACAGTGTCTAAAATGGCATCATTTTATGCTAGGTAGTATTTCTAATATACGGTTTGTGTGGTATTTCATGTATATCATAAGCTGGAGGAATGCTGATCTTTTTTTTTTTTTTTTTACTTATCCCCATACTTTGCCATTATTGTTAAATAAGGCTAGTTTTAATCTATGTTGAACCATTGGAACAACATTCTCACACAACCATTTTTAGTCTGGGTGAATCTTTTGTTAGTGTAGGGATTCCCCACTGGTTGCCCTTTCCAGTAACACAAAATAGAGGTAGAAACAGATATCAGCTATTGGTTTTGGTGTTCTTCTAATTTAATAAAGAATTCCTATTGTAATACTACAAATCTCATGTAATTCTGCATATTTAGGCTTTTAGTAGTAACTTCTTGTCAAATTAACATCAATTAGGGAAATAACTGATTCTGCAGAATCAAGTGCTCCATATGTAGCAAACTTGTTGGTAGAAGAATCTGAAAAGGAGAGTTATGTGCCTGATAAGTGCACAGTAGCTACACAGACCTCTGAGCCATTGTTACCTGCAGTCGTGCCAGTGGAGCAACCTTTTTCCATCCAATCTGTGGAACCCAGACCTTTGGTGCCTCCTCTTCCTGACAGGTACACAAATCATTAAAAAAAAAATAGTCCAAGGCTATGCACAAACCTAACTTTACTGTTTTTGAAAGTGAAGGGAGAGTTACTGCTCAAGATTACACATCAGCTTTTACAGTCTGTTAGATCTGCATGCTCCTATTGTGATAAGTGTAGCAAAATGGTTGCAGCTTTATCTCTGAATGAAACAGGATTCTACACTTGAATCATGGCCAGGTCCTGCTGATGTAACATGCACTGTATTTACTCAATATAAGATAACCCTGACTCGGGTTACTAGAAGATGACCCCCCCAATTAGATTCTATATATGGCAAATCTATAAATTGCTTATAACTGTCCAGGTATCAAATCTAATTATTGGAGGCTTGAATTTGTCCCTTTCTTACTGCTGTAGCAGGAAAAATGAATTTGGGGGGGGATGAGAGGCAGTGGAGAGCCCGTGGCAGAGCCGCTCCAAGTCCAGCCCCAGCTCCTAGTGCAGCCCTGGCCAGTGGCCCTCTGCCGCCTCCCACCGCCAGGCTCAGCTCCATGGGGCTGCAAAGCCTCCGGGCGCTGGGCTGTGCTCGCCAGGGCTGCACTCCGAGTGTCTCCGCCAGTCCCATGGAGCTCAGCCCAGTGGTGGGAGGGCCAG